AAAAAGGAGCAAAACCTTATATAAATAAATGAATAATTAATGAAGTGCTGCAACTGAAGGAAAGTTCAAAACTAATCTCAGAGAGTACTATTTTACTGAAAGAGTAGTTGATGGTTGGAATAAACTCCCAGCAGAGGTAGTGAGCCGGTCAACAGTAAAAAAGGCTGCAAACATGTTTGGAACAAGCATAGATCTATACTCAGACATTTTTTTTTACCAAAACCAAAAAAACAAAAAACACCCCCCCCCCCCCAAAAAAAGAAATTGGGTAGACTTGATGGACCACTTGGTCTGTTTCTACCATCACTTTTTTATGTTTCTATGTTACATACAATTACACATGAGTGAGATATTAATTATAAATGATCAAAAACTTCCCCACAACTTCCCCTACCATCTGAATGTCGCAGCTGAACTCCAGACTCATCAGACCAGGCAACGTTTTTCCAATCTTCTGTTGTCCAATTTTGGTGATCCTGTGTGAATTGTAGCCTCCGTTTCCTGTTCTTGTGTGGTCTTCAGCTGCTGTAGCCCATCTGCTTCAAGGTTGGATGTGTTGTGGGTTCAGAGATGGTATTCTGCATACATTGGTTGTAACGAGGGGTTATTGGAGTTACTGTTTCCTTTCTATCATCTCCAATCCATTCACCTGACCTCTGACCCAGTGATGTATTTGGGTTTTGTGCTGCCCTAGGCAACACACAAATTGGACGCCCCCCCCCCCTCCTCGACGGAGAGGGCCTGAAACTGAAAAAATCTGCCCCCCCGTGGGAGAGAGCCTGATAGTGATCAACACCCCTGCCCCACCCCCCCAAAGACAGCCTTCCCTTAACCCCCCCCCCCCCCCCCCCCCCCCGGCAACAGAGAGAAAGACACTCACCTTCACAGATCTGGCCATCCCCAAGGAACACCAGTTGGGCTCTGCATACACCATGCAGCCTTTCTTCTTATGGGGGTCAGTGCTGCCCCCCTAAAAATGCCACCCTAGGCAAATGCCTTGTGGTAAATACACCCCTGCTCTGACCTCAACAAGGCATTTTCCTCCACACAACTGCCACTCACTGGATATTTTCTCTTTTTCGAACCATTCTCTGTAAAGAGATGGTTGTGCGGGAAAATCCCAGTAGATCAGCAGTTTTTGGAATCCTCAGACCAGCCCGTCTGGCACCAACAACCATGCCACGTTCAAAGTCACTTAAATCCACTTTCCTCCCCATTCTAATGCTCGGTTTGAACTTCAGCAAGTTGTCTTCACCATGTCTAGATGCCTAAATGCATTGAGTTTCAGCCATGAGATTGGATGATTAGCAACTTGTGTTACCAAGCAATTGAACAGTTGGACCTAATAAAGTGGCCGGTGAGTGTATATTACGTCAGGAAGCATATTACTGGCTTCCTGTACAGCCATTCCATCTGGCACAGCTCTTACAAAGTTTGTCCTCTATGAGGATACATATTTTCCGCAGGTTCATTTTCTCTGTTCAATTTTTGGAGTAAAAGTTTGGAGCTCTACAATTGTCCGGATTACAACTTGCTTTTGGAATCATCCAACGGGTGTTTATCCATCTACCATTGAGGGCCAATTCGATCCTTTTGGTGTCATAAAGTGTCCAGGTCCATGGCATGCGTCTGGAATTTGCATTGCGCATGTTGACCCGTCCTTAACTGGAGGTAAATTTGGTCTGGTAAGAGGCAGAATTTTTTGGGTGTTGGTGATGGTGGATTTTCTTCATCTTCTTGACCAGATTTGAAGCATTCATGACAAAAAAGATGTCCCAGTAAAGGGGCTTATTTTCCATCATATTTCATTCACATGTGAATTGGACTTCCAATTTATTCCTCGTATTTTCCATAAACCTTTTGGTTACATGTAGCGCCGCACTTATATGTTTTATTACATTACGTCAACGACATGATATGGAAGTTGTATTAACTTATCTTTATGTAAAAGAAAAGGGATTTGAGTTGTTATTCAAAGAGAATGCCTGAATACCTTGATAGCTTGTAAATTGGGTCTGAACATAGCTGGACCGCAAGCAGCTGGATGGTGTGCAACACTGGTGCAGGTGAATGGATCCTGAATACAAGTGTAGACCTGGTCAGGTCAGGAGTTGACGGTAGCTAAGAGAAGAGGTTATCCTCCTTGGGGTGAATAGAGGACCCCTCAATAGAACATGCATCAGTTGACCTGAGCCCCCCGTTTCATAAGCCCCTGGTGTTCAGCTGGGCTTTTGGAGCTTTAACCTGTAATCACAAGGAAAATGCAAGGCCTTGTGGTGTCAGTAACTCCAGACTGCATGGAGCAGTCAGTGCTGTAGTGGGCCAGGGGGATGGCATATCAGGGTTTCCAACCCACCATCTATACACACGGAAGCAAACAGAATGGGCTTTGGGGGGCTTAGGGGCAGTTATGGTATAAAGTAGGTGACCTCTGGAAAGTTCTGCTTCCAAGCTCCTTTGTTATAAAAGGATGGGTTCAAAGCAGAGATTTTAGGTATATTTTATTTTAATTGCTTTGCCAGAGCCTGTTTTTATTCTATTTTGGAGTGCACAAGGTAGTCTTGTTGCTGACACCAGCACAGCTGCCCTGCAATCCCCTTTATTAAATATGCCAGACAGGCCTTACGGGAGAGGTTCTGCAACCAGAGGTAGTAGGGGGCGAGCAGGTTCTTCCGAACAAAGCAGTGATCAGCCGCACCATCTAGAGCAGCAATGGGCAAACTACGGCCCGCGGGCCGTATACGGCCCGGCGGACCTTTTAATCCGGCCCACGGAGCGTGATACATTGGCTGTCAGGATGTGTGTAGGCGGGGCAGCGTGACGAACGTGAGGGGAGGGGAGCTAGGCTCCTCTCACAGTCCGCCCTGAAGACCAGAACAGCGCGGGAACACGGCGAGAGGAACGCGCGGAGCAAAGGTAAGTAAATTGACACAGGGGGGACTTGGCTTACTACTTGGGGGGGAATAGTACTATGGGGGATGAATTAATATGGGGGATGAATTACTATATGAGGGATGAATTACTATATGGGGGATGAATTACTATGGGGGATGAATTACTATATGGGGGATGAATTACTATATGGGGGATGAATTACTATGGGGGATGAATTACTATATGGGGGATGAATTACTATGGGGGATGAATTACTATATGGGGGATGAATTACTATGGGGGATGAATTACTATAGGGGGGGATGAATTACTATAGGGGGGATGAATTACTATGGGGGATGAATTACTATAGGGGGGGATGAATTACTATGGGGGATGAATTACTATATGGGGGATGACTTACTATATGGGGGATGAATTACTATGGGGGATGAATTACTATGGGGGATGAATTACTATATGGGGGATGAATTACTATAGGGGGGATGAATTACTATATGGGGGATGAATTACTATGGGGGATGAATTACTATATGGGGGATGAATTACTATATGGGGGATGAATTACTATATGGGGGATGAATTACTATGGGGGATGAGTTACTATATGGGGGATGAATTACTATATGGGGGATTAATTAGTATATGGGGGATGAATTACTATGGGGGATGAATTACTATATGGGGGATGAATTACTATGGGGGATGAATTACTATATGGGGGATGAATTACTATATGGGGGATGAATTACTATGCTTACTATGGGGGAATAATACTATACTTACTATGGATGACACATACACATCATTCATCTACTCTTGGTCCGGCCCCCGGGTCCAATATATGAACCCATTGCGGCTCTCAAGTCAAAAAGTTTGCCCACCCCTGATCTAGAGGCTGGCCACGTCTACCTTTTTTATCTCAGTTTCAGTGGTTTACAGCCACATCATGCACAGGATGTAGTTTAGTGGCTGACAAAGCCTTCCTCTTTTTTCCTCCTCCTCCCAAATGCAGAGAAGCCATTGGTCTGAAAACTCTGCTAATGCAAACTCTTTTTCCTCCCATTCTGATAATCCTGCCGTAGTCCAGCAAACTGGCAATGAGGAGTTGGCAGAATAATTACACCACATGGCCAGTGGCTTGCTGCAGGAGGATGGTCGTGCAAGATTTGCTCATTTCAGATTTTGAGGATGAGGAAGATAGCACCATGGCCATAGAGGGAGGAGAGGATTTAGTTACACAGCATTCAGGGGACATCAACCAGGCATGGGGCACAATGCTGATGCCTCCTCTTGTCTTGCAAATTGGTGACAACGCAGTCCCCTTTATCCCCTCCTCTGCACTGGACTCATCCTCCAACTCCTCTGAACCACTAGTCCCCCCCAAGCATCCCAAAACTGTGAAACGTTTCTGGCTAAATGCTTTGCAGCTTGTATGCCTGGGCACAGTCAGCCACAATGGCAGCTGTCCAGGCCAATAGGTGTTTGACCCCAAACTATCTTCACACAGAAAAGGCCATCTGTAACAACATTAGCCTGTTGGCAACCCTACGCCAGGGGGAATATATCTTGCCTGGTGATGCAGTAAGTCCTCATTAAGGAGCTGCATGCAATCTGTGGCAAATGGGGTCTTTAATGCTCAAATGCCCAAGCAAAGACCCCAGGATTCAGGGTATCAAAGAGAGGGAACAGTATTGGGTGGTTACCCTTTTGGATCCTTGATACAAGAGTAAATTGGCCAATCTACTGCCACCAGCCTAAAGGGATCCTAAAATATAGCACATTGAGGAAGTACTGCATAGGAACATTTTCTTATAGTGGCAGGATCCCCTCCGATGACCAAAGTGCATCCAGTCCTAGGATCCTTGAAAGGAGGAGCAGCAGTGATGGCTTTTTTGAGTTTTTAAGCCACAGCAGGAAGACTGGCGAGACTCACAGGCAGCACCTGAAGCACATCCGATTCCGGGTTGATGCGGGCTTGGTACCTGCCTATTCTGGAGCTCAAGCACTGTAGGTGTCATTTAATGTTTCTGCAGTTGGACTTCAGCTGCCAAAATTCTCATGTGTGCTGCAGAGAAAAATGTTGTGTTGCATCACAATGTTTTGGGCCTATTCTGGTGCTTTGGAGCTTAGGGGTGTCAAACTGGCGGCTCTTCAGCTGTTGCGAAGCTACAAGTCCCATCATGCCTCTGCCTTTAGAAGTCATGCTTGTAACTGTCCATCTTGCAATGCCTCATGGGACTTGTAGTTTGGCAACAGCTGGAGGGCCACCAGTTTGACACCCGTGAGCTATTGTCTTTCCTCTAACATACTTTAAGATTTATTTCATGGTGAATCCTGCCTGGTAGCTCCTTCTTACATTGCGGCCTAATCAAGCTGCTTACATACTGTCCAGCCACTGAACAATATTTGTAGCTTTTGTCAGACAATACACTCTGATTTTTATTAATTAATTAATAAGACCTGCCTTGTCTGTTTTTATTTGCTGCCTGTTCAAGTGTTTGTGTGCTGTCCTGATCCTAGACAATTTCTACCAAACAAACATACCTGAAGTCTATATTTCAAAGATTTTAAAAATAATTGGGGATACAGGGGGTGGGAGGAGGTTCAGAGAATGCGGGCTTGTGGTTTTGAATGGTTTTTGTGCAATCAGTTTTGTCATTTTACCTTTTGAGATAATGTAGTGTACGGGTATTTTGTCTGAGCACCAACAAAACAGGCCCCAGACTGTACAATTGGTAGCCGGACATGGCGACTGGTGGAGTTTTTCGCAGGCAAGGAAATGTATTCGATTGCAGTCTCAGGCTGCCGTTTTGGGAGATCTTCAGCCTCGCTGGAAGTAGCTCTGCTTTCACAAGGCAAGGCGTGTACAGCGACTTTTATTATCCAACCAAATCCAGCAGGCAGTAACTGGCAGCATAGTCTTCTCTCTCTGAGAGTCCATGGGGTTGATTTACTAAAGGCAAATAAACTGTGCACTTTGCTGCACGCTGCAAGAGACGTTGCTCCAGAGCTTAGTAAATGAGCAAAAACCCTGCTGACTTCCATCATCCAATCATGTGCAAGCAAAAAAGATGTTTTCTTATTTTTTTTCCTTGCACTTGATTGGGTTTTCTTTGCAAAGTGAAGCTTTACCTCATTTACTAAGCTCTGGAGCAACTGCTCTTGGAAGAGTGCAACTGCACTTTGCGAAGTGCACAATCTACTCGCCTTTAGTAAATGAACCCCTATGTGTGCCTATCATTCATTTTATTGTCCAGCCTTTGTCCCTTCTGATAGAAAAGTATCTTCCTGTCTTCCTTTGCTGTAACCTTTGTCACCGTGGGGAACGATTATAAAGAACGGTCAATCTGTGAACATTCACCGGCCAAAAAAAAAGATGCTTAGATGGTTTCTAAACTGCTTCCTGAACCTCAGAAAGAGAATTGTGGCGAGCTACCAAGAAATAACATGACGGCCTTCAGATCCTAACAAAACGGCTTCGGAGAAATTTGTGCTTGTAGAGGCTGGCTGCCATTTGCCCAAAGTCAAGAAACACTCCTACTACATTTCCAGTTTCCTTTCCTGATCTGTTACTGTACTCCCAATACACCTGAGGGTGCTATGCCATGAGCAATGTGAGCCAGGATATAAATTACATTACATTACATTACATTGAGTTTATATAGCGCCAAAGGGTTTGCTCAGCGCTGTACAATAGAGGGGGGGACAATACATGAAACATTACAGCAACTACGAACAGCACACGAGGGGGTAAGAGGGCCCTACTCTTTGGAGCTTACAATCTAGGAGGGAGGGGGGTAGTGGTACAGGAGGAAGTGGCTGTGGGGGATGGAGTGGTAGGAGGAATGAAGGAGAGCAGCAGTTAGGTGAGGGTGGGGTAGGCTTCCCTGAAGAGGTGGGTTTTCAGGGAGCGCCTGAAGGTGAGGAGGGAAGGTGACAGTCTGATGGATTGGGGTAGTGAGTTCCAGAGGATGGGGGAGGACCTGGAGAAGTCTTGCAGACGTGCGTGTGAGGAGGAGACCAGGGAGCAAGATAGAAGGAGGTCCTGTGAAGAGCGAAGGGTACGGGGTAGGGTGGTACTTGGGAATCAGGTCGGTGAGGTAGTTAGGGGCAGTGTTGTGAATGGCTTTGTAGGTCAGAGTGAGTAGTTTGAATTTGATGCGTTGGGCGATAGGGAGCCAGTGGAGGGAGAGGCAGAGGGGGGTGGCAGAGGTGGAGCGGGTGGTGAGGTGGATGAGTCTGGCAGCTGAGTTCAGGATGGTCTGAAGCGGGGAGAGCCTGCACTGGGGTAGGCCGGTGAGGAGGGAGTTGCAGTAGTCAAGGCGTGAGATAATCAGGGAGTGCACAAGTAGTTTAGCGGTGTCTGGGGTAAGGAAGGAGCGTATTTTGGCGATATTGCGGAGGTGGAGCCTGCATGTGTTTGTCAGTGATTTGACATGAGGTTGGAAGGAAAGGTTAGAGTCCAGAATGACTCCAAGGACTTTGGCTTGCGGGGCGGGATTGATGGTGGTGATGTTAGTAGTGATGGATAGGATGGGGGGGGGGGGGGCGCGGGCTGGGGGGAAGATGAGAAGCTCGGTTTTGGAGAGGTTGAGTTTGAGGAAATGGAGCGACATCCAGTCAGAGATGTCGTTTAGGAGGTGAGTGATGCGGGCGGAGAAAGTGGAGGTGAGGTGAGGGGTGGAGAGGTAAATTTGAGTGTCATCAGCATAGAGATGGTAGTTGAAGAGAGCGGTGTCTCTGATGCCAAGGGAGAATAGTTTATTAAGGAGGAGGGGGTGGTCAACTGTGTCGAAGGCCGCGGAGAGGTCCAGGAGGAGGAGGACAGAGTAGTCGCCTTTGGCTTTGGCAGTTAGTAGGTCGTTGGTGATTTTGAGGAGGGCGGTTTCGGTGGAGTGTAGGGGACGGAAGCCGGACTGTAGTGGATCAAGGAGGTTGTTGTCAGTTAGGTGGGCGCTTAGGCGGTTGTAGACTAAGCGCTCCAGGAGTTTGGAAGTGAGTGGCAGCAGGGAGATGGGTCTGAGGTTGTTTGGGTCAGAGGGGTCCAGGGAGGGCTTTTTGAGTATGGGGGTGATGTGCGCATGCTTTAGGGGGGAGGGGAATACGCCGGTAGAGAGGGAGAGATTGAAGATGTGGGTGAGGGAGCAGATGAGGGAAGAGGGGGGTGACTGGAGGAGTCGAGAGGGGATAGGGTCTAGGGGGCAGGTAGTGAGGCGGGCTTCTGAGAAGACCCTGGTGACTTCCTCAGTGGTAGCGGGGCTGAAGGAGTGCAGAGCTGGTGGGGTTACGGTAAGCGGGGTCTTGGGTGTGGAGGGGGGCAGTGCGGTTGCGAGGTCAGAGGAGGGAAGAGATGAGGGGGAGATAGGGGGGGGGGAGGCTAGGTGGGGAGGTAGATTGCGAGTTGACTATGTCCTGACGGATTGCATCAATTTTGTTGTGGAAATGAGTGGCAATCTCGTGGGCGGTGAGTGAGGTACTGAGTGGAGGAGGGGGGGGGGGAGAGAGCAGGGAGTTGAAGGTGGAGAAGAGTCGGCGAGGGCGGAGGAGAGGGTGTTAATCAGGTTTACGAAGTAAGCCTGCTTGGCGGCGTGGAGGGAGGAGGTGTAAGTGAGGAAGGCAGATTTGTAGAGGGAGAATGAACGGGGGGGACCTGGTTTTGCGCCATAGTCTCTCCAGCGCACGACTGCGACGTTTGAGGCATTTAGTGTGGTCATTCTGCCATGGTTGGAGCGGTCTGGGTTTGATGTAGCGTGTGGTTAGGGGTGTGCCAGAGAGTCTACGGTAGAGTCCAGTGGAAGGATGCTGTCGTGTAGGCGGTCGGCAGCTGAGTGGAGGGGGGCCGGGTTCAGGTTGCGGAGGTTGTGGCTGGTGATGGTTTGGCGCTCTGGGGGGGGGGAGTTAGGGGAAGGGGAGATGGAGAACGTGAGGAGGTGGTGGTCGAGAGAGAGGGAAGGGGGTGTTAGAGAACTGGTTGAGGGTACAGAGGTGGGGAGAAGACGAGGTCCAGGGTGTTCCCAATGATGTGGGTGGAGGATTGAGTGTGCTGTGTGAGCGCGAAGGAGGAGGTTAGGTGGAGGAATTGGGAAGTAGCCGGGCTGTTATTGATGGGGATATTGAAGTCCCTGAGGATGATGGTGGGGAGCTCAGAGGAGAGGAAGAAGGGAAGCCAGGCAGCGAAGTCATCCAGGAAGCGGGGTATGGATCCAGGAGGCCTGTAGATCACTGCGATCCTTAGGGGGGTGGGTGAGAAGAGCCGGATGCAGTGAGCCTCGAAGGAGGAGAAAGTTAGGGAGGGAGGATTAGGGAGGACCTGGAAGGTGCTCAGCGGTGATAGGAGCAGGCCGACCCCACCACCTTTGTGACCGCTCAGTCTTGGTGAAAGGGACCAGACGAGACCTCCATAGGAGAGTGCCGCAGGGGAGGTGGAGTCAGTGGCCTGTACCCAGGTTTCGGTGATGGCTAGGAGGTTAAGGGAGCGGGAGATAAAGAGGTCATGGATGGCAGTAAGTTTGTTGCAGACCGAGCGGGGGCGTTCAGGAGTGCAACCGAGAGAGGGGGGATGGATGCGGGGAGAAGGGGCACAGATATGAGGTTGAGGGGGGTTACGGCAGCTTGCGGGAGCGGGGGGGGTCCCTAGAGGAGGGGGGTGAGGTGGCGAGGGGCCAGGGTTCGGGGAGATGTCCCCAGCAGATAGGAGATAGGAGAAGAGAAGGGTGAGGAAGGTGGCATGGGGATGGGAAGTGTAGGAGCGTGTGGACTTTTCGTTTGGAATGTCATAAATTATTAATTATTTACATCATTAACATTGTTTCTGTGGAAAATATATATTTATTATATATCATTCATTATTTACCTTATTTATATATGTATTTTTATAAGGAATTTTCTACACTGATAATTGATTTAGGCGCCACCGGAATACTTTTTTGAAGTGTTTTTTTGCATATGTGGTGACAGACTCTGGATCCCCTTTGCCCAGGGATTCCTTCAGGCACGCAGATAGTGGAGCTTCTGGGGTCTGGGGTGCAGCTACAGGAGACGCTGGATAGCTCTCCAGAAAAATGGTACGCTGTAACCACTTATACATAGTTCGGGGAGTTGTCCTCATTTTTTCGGTTCCATTGGGCATCCCTAACCCTATCCCAGTTCAAATCCCCTAATAAAACTTTGAAACAAGTTCAAGGACTGGTTACTGACTCCTGAATGCAAATTCTGTGTAGCAATGGGTGTTGCCTTGCTGTGCGGGACCATTGGGGGGCCCAAATCTTCTGCAACTCCTAAGGGGGTAGTGCTACATTTAGGTGCCACTGGAATGCCTTTATTGAATAGAAATACAGGTTTTTTATACACGTCAGAAAGAGGGACTCTCTTCCATGGGCCATAATCAGTGGGTAGAAGGCTAACCCCTAGTCCCCTCCAAGAGCCCCTGTCCCGGATATGTCTGCCACACTATTATAGGTCAAAGCTTATTGCCAATTGCAAAACTGTGTGTGAAAATCCACTTTACTGTTTGCTTCCCACTCTTCTCCTCTGCACCCACTTCATGCTCCTCACTCTCTCCCTGATCTCCAGTCTACACCAATGTTCCCACTCTCTGCTTTCCACTCTCCTCCTCTGTTCCTGCCCTCCACTCCTCATTCTCTTTCTCTGCACCCACTTCATACTCCTCACTCTCTCCCTGATCTCCAGTCTGCACCAATGTTCCCACTCTCTGCTGTCCACTCTCCTCCTCTGTTCATGCTCCTTACTCTGTGACCACTCTCTGCTCCTCAGATTACATCCCTGCATCTGATCTCTGCTCTACACCACTGTTTGCACTCTCTGCTTCCCATTCTTCTCCTCTGTTCCTGCCCTCCACTCCCCATTCTCTTTGTCTGCACCCACTCTCTGCTCCTCACTCTGCTCTACACCTGATCTTCACGATACACCACTGTTCCCACGCTCTGACCCTCTCAGTTGCAAATCTCTATGTGAAAATTCCATTTACCTTCCACTTTCCACTCTCCTTCTCTGTTCCTGCTATTCATTCCCCATTCTCCTCTTCTGTACCAACTCCATGCTCCTCACTCTCCTCCTCTGTCCCTGATCTCCACTCCCCATTCTCCTCCCATCCACCCGCTCTCTGCACCTCACTCTCCTTCTCTGTCCATGAATTCCACTCCCCATTCTCCTCCCATCCACCCGCTCTCTGCTCCTCACTCTCCTCCTCTGTCCCTGATCTCCACTCCTTATTCTCCTCCCCTCCACCCGCTCTCTGCTCCTCACTCTCCTCCTCTGTCCCTGATCTCCACTCCCCATTCTCCTCCCCTCCACCCGCTCTCTGCTCCTCACTCTCCTCCTCTTTCCCTGATCTCCAATCCCCATTCTCCTCCCATCCACCCGCTCTCTGCACCTCACTCTCCTTCTATATCCCTGATCTCCACTCCCCATTCTCCTCCCATCCACCCGCTCTCTGCACCTCACTCTCCTTCTCTGTCCCTGATCTCCACTCCCCATTCTCCTCCCCTCCACCCGCTCTCTGCTCCTCACTCTCCTCCTCTTTCCCTGATCTCCAATCCCCATTCTCCTCCCATCCACCCGCTCTCTGCTCCTCACTCTCCTTCTATATCCCTGATCTCCACTCCCCATTCTCCTCCCCTCCACCCGCTCTCTGCTCCTCACTCTCCTCCTCTGTCCCTGATCTCCACTCCCCATGTCCCTTCTCTGCACCCGCTCTCTGCTCCTCACTCTCCTCCTCTGTCCCTGTTCTCCACTCCCCATTCTCCTCCCCTCCACCCGCTCTCTGCACCTCACTCTCCTTCTATATCCCTGATCTCCACTCCCCATTCTCCTCCCATCCACCCGCTCTCTGCACCTCACTCTCCTTCTCTGTCCATGAATTCCACTCCCCATTCTCCTCCCCTCCACCCGCTCTCTGCTCCTCACTCTCCTCCTCTTTCCCTGATCTCCAATCCCCATTCTCCTCCCATCCACCCGCTCTCTGCACCTCACTCTCCTTCTATATCCCTGATCTCCACTCCCCATTCTCCTCCCATCCACCCGCTCTCTGCTCCTCACTCTCCTCTCCTCCTCTGTCCCTGATCTCCACTCCCCATTCTCCCTCCCCTCCACCCGCTCTCTGCTCCTCACTCTCCTCCTCTTTCCCTGATCTCCAATCCCCATTCTCCTCCCATCCACCCGCTCTCTGCACCTCACTCTCCTTCTATATCCCTGATCTCCACTCCCCATTCTCCTCCCATCCACCCGCTCTCTGCACCTCACTCTCCTTCTCTGTCCATGAATTCCACTCCCCATTCTCCTCCCCTCCACCCGCTCTCTGCTCCTCACTCTCCTCCTCTTTCCCTGATCTCCAATCCCCATTCTCCTCCCATCCACCCGCTCTCTGCACCTCACTCTCCTTCTATATCCCTGATCTCCACTCCCCATTCTCCTCCCATCCACCCGCTCTCTGCTCCTCACTCTCCTCCTCTGTCCCTGATCTCCACTCCCCATTATCCTCCCCTCCACCCGCTCTCTGCTCCTCACTCTCCTCCTCTTTCCCTGATCTCCAATCCCCATTCTCCTCCCATCCACCCGCTCTCTGCTCCTCACTCTCCTTCTATATCCCTGATCTCCACTCCCCATTCTCCTCCCATCCACCCGCTCTCTGCACCTCACTCTCCTTCTCTGTCCATGAATTCTACTCCCCATTCTCCTCCCCTCCCACCCGCTCTCTGCTCCTCACTCTCCTCCTCTGTCCCTGATCTCCACTCCCCATTCTCCTCCCCTCCCCCCCGCTCTCTGCTCCTCACTCTCCTCCTCCTCTTTCCCTGATCTCCAATCCCCATTCTCCTCCCATCCACCCGCTCTCTGCTCCTCACTCTCCTTCTATATCCCTGATCTCCACTCCCCATTCTCCTCCCCTCCACCCGCTCTCTGCTCCTCACTCTCCTCCTCTGTCCCTGATCTCCACTCCCCATGTCCCTCCTCTGCACCCGCTCTCTGCTCCTCCTCACTCTCCTCCTCTGTCCCTGTTCTCCACTCCCCATTCTCCTCCCCTCCACCCGCTCTCTGCTCCTCACTCTCCTCCTCTGTCCGTGATCTCCACTCCCCATTCTCCTCCCCTCCACCCGCTCTCTGCACCTCACTCTCCTCCTCTGTCTGTGATCTCCACTCCCCATTCCCCGCCTCAACACCCACTCTCTGCTCTCCACTCCCCTCTTTTGTTCAGTTTGAGCGGGGTTCAGCAAACTTCAGAGAAGTTCAGTTGCCAATCCCAAACTCCATTAGAATCAATGGGAGCTTCATCTGTCCAATAGGAAATCTCTATTTTCTGGGCTAATAGTCAAGGGGGTGTCCACATGTACCAATACAAAAAAATGTTTTACAAAATTCCATTCGGCCAAGAGCAGTGATTTTTTTAAATGCCTAAAGGGAAACATTAAAAATATACAATTCTTTTAACTACCATGCCTGGGGGATGGGGGGGGGGAATCCTGCCTGTGAATGGGGCATCTCTGTGATATATCTCTGTGAAAGTGCTGCAGCAGCGCTGACATTTACAAAGGAAAAGAGTTTATGAAAATACTTGCAAATGACATTTCCCTGTTGGCTTCTTTTTTTTATTTTCAGGCACGCAGAATCCTCCAAAGGTCATCCAAATTACATGGTAGACATAAGACCTGCTCTGTATGTCGGGAGACCTTTAATATCTGAGCGTTGTTTAAATACAAAAGAAGGCAGCAGCAGGGAAATGTCATACGCTGGCAATTTGAACTATTGTATGTTTTTTTTTCTTTGTAAATGTCATGCATGCAAACTCAGGGAAAACATCAGGCAAACAGGCGGCCCTCCAGCTGTTGCAAAACTACAAGTCCCATCATGCCTCTGCCTTTTGGGAGTCACGATTGTAACTGTCAATCTTGCAATTCCTCGTGGAACTTGTAGTTTGGCAACCGCTGGAGGGCCGCCAGTTTGACACCCCAGGGTTAGAGGTTTCTTTACAGCATTGCTGTACACAAGACCATCTCTGAACACCCAAGGAGAGGTACCTCAGAGAAGGGGGACTACAGCAGGATACCAGCCAGAAGCAGGGCAGGGAAGGCACGGGGGGCCCTAGATCACAAAATCTTGGCGATGGAGGATCTGCAGAACATATCTAGTCTGTGAAGTGCAGGTGGTGGGTCAGAACTTGCTGCACAGAACCTATCTGTAGGGATGAAGATCCTCTGAGGAAGGATGAATGTGCAGCTGGTATATGTACAATAGAGATGACCAAAGAAATTCTGTCTTCCTTTGACTCCAAAGAAATTCTGTCAAAGGCAAAAAAAAAATAACACATTTGCCCACCGATCCAGGGATGGATGTTTGGATGAAATGCATTGAATATATTTCAGCACTTATCCCCAACCTCAATTCTAACATTAACCCTTAACCCTCTGATCCTAACCCTAACTCTCTAACTCCAATGAAATTTCGGCATCCCCTCCAGGGATTTCGTGGGTGAAAATGCATTGTAGTTGATTCCATTGCCCATCCCTAACATTTATCCTAATTCTAGCCCCAGCTCTAACCCCAACCCCCTAACCATAACACTCTAATCCTAACTATAACCCTGTCCCTATAAAACTTTGGTAGCGAAATGAATTGGAGTCAATTTCACAGTTCACCCCTAACATTAACCCTAAATCCAACACTAACTCTAAACCTAACCTTGTAGCCCAAACCCTAAAACTAACCCTCACCTTAACACTCTAACCCTGACTAGAAACATTTCCCTAACTATAACCCCAACCCTAATCCCAGAACTCTAATGCAAGTCCATCAAAGGAAAAACCTGTGTTGCCCATTGCTCCAGGGATGGATGTTTTGGGGCAAAATGCATTGCAGTCATTTCATTGCTCATCCCTAACATTAACCCTAATTCTAATGCTAAGACTAAACCTAACCCCCTAGCCCCACCCCTAGTACTAGTACTGCCAAGATACGTGCCTTCCTCACCCCAGACACCACCAAACTTCTTGCACACTCCCTCATCATCTCACGCCTTGACTACTGTAATTCTCTTCTCATTGGCCTACCCCAGTGCAGGCTCTCCCCGCTCCAGACCATCCTGAACTCAGCGGCCAGACTCATCCACCTCACCACCCGCTCCACCTCTGCCACCCCCCTCTGCCTCTCCCTCCACTGGCTCCCGATTGCCCAACGCATCAAATTTAAACTTCTAACCCCGACCTACAAAGCCGTTCATAACACTGCCCCTGACTACCTCACCAACCTGATCCCCAAGAACCACCCTACCCGTACCCTTCGCTCCTCACAGGACCTCCTTCTATCCTGCTCCCTGGTCTCCTCCTCCCATGCACGACTGCAGGACTTCTCCAGGTCCTCCCCTATCCTCTGGAACTCACTGCCCCAATCCATCCGACTGTCGCCTTCCCTCCCCACATTCAGACGCTCCCTCAAAACCCATCTCTTCAGGGAAGCCTACCCCACCCTCACCTAACGGCCATTCTCCCTCATTCCTCCCAGCACTTCATCCCCCTCAGCCACTTCATTCCCCTCAGCCACTTCATCCCCCTCAGCCACTTCATTCCCCTCAGCCACTTCCTATTGTTCCACTACCCCCTCCCTCCTAGATTGTAAGCTTGAAAGAGTAGGGCCCTCTTACCCCTCGTACGCTGTCTGTTTTTGTTGTACTGTGCCATGTATTGTCCCCCCTCTATTGTACAGCGCTGAGCAAACCCTTTGGCGCTATATAAACTCCATGTAATAAATAAATAAATAAATAGTACTAACCCTAACTACAGACCCAACTCTAACTGCAATCGTCTACTCCAGGGGTGTTGGACTCCATTTCATCGGGGGCCATATCAGCATTATGGTTCCCCTCAAAGGGTCGCTTGTATCTGTAAGACAAGATGTCCAGAGCTCCCCACCCCCCATTACATCTGATGTCAAGAATCCCACACCCTCCCTAACATCATTGTGCACCCCCTTTGATGACAGAGCTGGAAAACAGAAAGTGAAGGGACTGGAGGAGGACCAGAGGAGGAGTGGAGTCAGTTACCAGACTCTGATGAATGCTGAGACCAGCGGAGACAGAGATGAGGGGGTGCTGTGGGTGCACTGAGAGGTGCAGGATTTGGCAGAGGAGTTCCATTCTCCTCTTTGCTGCTGACTGCTGAGACAAGGAGGAGGTGGAGACAAGGGGGTACCTGCAGGAGAGGTGCAAGGGCCACATGAAATGGCCTGAAGAGGCGGATTCGGGCCACGGGCCTTGTGTTTGACACCTGTGATCTTATCCTAACACTAACTATGACTCTAACCCTCTTCCCCTAACTATAGTCCTAACTCTGACCATAACCATCCAACCCTAACTAGAACTATAATCCTAACCCTCTACCCCTAACTATAGTCCTAGCCATCTAATCCTAAATATGGCCCTAACCCTCTACCCCTAACTATAGTCCTAGCCATCTAATCCTAACTATGGCCCTAACCCTCTACCCCTAACTATAGTCCTAGCCATCTAATCCTAACTATGGCCCTAACCCTCTACCCCTAACTATAGTCCTAGCCATCTAATCCTAAATATGGCCCTAACCCTCTACCCCTAACTATAGTCATAGCCATCTAATCCTAAATATGGCCCTAACCCTCTACCCCTAACTATAGTCCTAACTCTGACCATAACCATCCAACTCTAACTAGAACTATAATCCTAACCCTCTACCCCTAACTATAGTCCTAACTCTGACCATAACCATCCAACTCTAACTAGAACTATAATCCTAACCCTCTACCCCTAACTATAGTCATAGCCATCTAATCCTACCTATGGCCCTAACCCTCTACCCCTAACTATAGTCCTAGCCATCTAATCCTAACTATGGCCCTAACCCTCTACCCCTAACTATAGTCCTAGCCATCTAATCCTAACTATGGCCCTAACCCTCTACCCCTAACTATAGTCCTAGCCATCTAATCCTAACTATGGCCCTAACCCTCTACTCCTAACTATAGTCATAGCCATCTAATCCTAACTATGACAGAAAAAAGTAATTTGCGCTAGTAAATATATAGAAATATATCCATGAATCAAATATATAAATGGTGCATAAATAAAAAATGTTCAAAAACAAAAAAGGCGGAGCTTGATCGATGTGACGTCATTACATTTTCCCACGAGCTACTGCGCATGTGCTGAGTAGCTGGGTCTGTTTGCTGTGATTGCTGTTGACGCTGGTGTCGGCTGGGACACCCTTTGAGTTAAGTGCAATGAGCACCTAATAAAAGAAGTTGTTTTTAATAATACTGCACCATGAAGTTCTTCTGTTCCTTCCGAGTGTCTGGCATTTCCTTCCTTGGATACGTTTAAAGGTGGCTTTCTTGAGAAGTGGATTTCCTTGATGATGATTGATTTGAAAGCATTTTGCTCCATCTGAAATTGGTCTATGTGGATCTGGGCTCTGCAGAATATTATTCCTTGAAGATACATCTATGAATGACTTATCATTTATTAATACTACCGTTCCCAGAGCAATACATGGTTTAATTTTATTAGCTCTGGTGAGTTTATTCATTTTTTGGTGGTGGTATTGTCACATTTATTTATATTTTTTGTGCACGTTTTTTTTTGTGTCACATATTTTAAAGTGTGGACTTTTTGTTTTTGAACATTTTTTATTTATGCACCATTTATATATTTGATTCATGGATATATTTTTATATATTTACTAGCGCAAATTACTTTTTTGTGTTATTTGCTACACCTTATTTATTTATGGTGATTTTTGCAGCTGGTATATTATAATAAGTGACTTATAGATATATATATAGATATATTTCTTCCTCTTTCCATAGGCGCCATTATATATATTTTTTCTATTTAATCCTCACTATGGCCCTAACCCTCTACCCCTAACTATAGTCATAGCCATCTAATCCTAACTATGGCCCTAACCCTCTTCCCCTAACTATAGTCATAGCCATCTAATCCTAACTATGGCCCTAACCCTCTTCCCCTAACTATAGTCATAGCCATCTAATCCTAACTATGGCCCTAACCCTCTACCCCTAACTATAGTCCTAGCCATCTAATCCTAAATATGGCCCTAACCCTCTACCCCTAACTATAGTCCTAGCCATCTAATCCTAAATATGGCCCTAACCCTCTACCCCTAACTATAGTCCTAGCCATCTAATCCTAACTATAATCCTAACCCTCTACCCCTAACTATAGTCCTAGCCATCTAATCCTAACTATGGCCCTAACCCTCTACCCCTAACTATAGTCATAGCCATCTAATCCTAACCCTCTACCCATAACTATAAACCTAACTCTGACTATAACCATCCAACCCTAACTATAACCACAACCCTCTACCCTTAACTATAACAATAACCATCCAACCCCACCACTAGTTATGACCCTAACCCTCCACCCTTAACTATAACCCTAACTCTCTTACCATAAACCTATCTATACCAATAACCATCCAACCCCACCGCTAATTACGACCCTAACCCTCCACCCTTAACTATAGTCCTAACCATCTAATCCTAATATCCTAACCCTCTTCCCTTAACTATAAATCTAACTCTCCAAACCTAACCCCGACCATAACTATCCAATCCTCTACCCTTCACTATAGCCCCAACTCTCTTATTTTAAACTTAACTATAACAATAACCATCCAACCCCACCCCTAATTATAATCCTAACCCTCTACCCTACCTATAATCCTAACTGTCTAACCCTGACCTTGACCTTAACCCCCTTCCCCTAACTATAGTCATAGCCATCTAATCCTAACTATGGCCCTAACCCTCTTCCCCTAACTATAGTCATAGCCATCTAATCCTAACTATGGCCCTAACCCTCTACCCCTAACTATAGTCCTAGCCATCTAATCCTAAATATGGCCCTAACCCTCTACCCCTAACTATAGTCCTAGCCATCTAATCCTAAATATGGCCCTAACCCTCTACCCCTAACTATAGTCCTAGCCATCTAATCCTAACTATAATCCTAACCCTCTACCCCTAACTATAGTCCTAGCCATCTAATCCTAACTATGGCCCTAACCCTCTACCCCTAACTA